CCTTGTGCTTGTAAACCCTTTATTCTCTACTTCTGCAAGGGTCACATTGCTGTAAGGATGATATGGGGGCGACACAGGCGATGAGGGGCTGATGTGAAATGACGCGGGCGGGGTCTTGATTTTGGGGTAAGTGATCCATCGCCTTCCCCCACTTCGCGTATTCTGAACGCGCTTTACCACGGATGCATTCCACATCAGACGCGTAGCACGAGGCGGCTCAAATGACTGCGCACGTTTCGCGTCGGCACCGGCATCTCCGTCAGAAACGGTGCGGCCGGTACCGTGGTACATTCGTCACACCAGTCCTTGTTATCTCTGAAGCTAGTCATTGCATTGAGTATACGAGAAGCGCTGGCTAACAGGAAAGACCCGAATCGGATTTTTCTAGATGTCCTTGACAGGGGCCAGGCCATTGTGTCCTATTTCCATTGCACGACAATGCAACATCATGAAGTCATTAAGGCGATCGAAATGAAACAAAGATGATAGCAAGCATCCTGATGAAATCAGTTCATACGAATAGCGGAACAGTATAATTGAGATTGGGCGCCTGTCATCCGTCGAGGACGGAAATGCTGTGGCATTGTAGATGGTGACCGGTCCAGCCTAGCCTAGTTAGGACTAGCCCTTCATTGTACCTTTGTTGCTGGTTGGTCAATGGTATCTTGTGTTTTTGGTGTCACAGCATTCGAACCTACGGCTTTGGGAAATAGCTTCGAATTTGTCTGTGACGTTGAACACTGCGCCGCCGCTTTCTTCGTCACCGGGCGGCTAGCTGTTGGGCCAAGAATTTGTCGTCAAGGCGAACGAGCCTATGCCACAACTCCAGTGAGCTTTTGCGGTCACAAGCAACTGCAATGTGGCTGGGAATTCGGGGGCTTCCAGGAGTACACAAGCAGGGGTACCGGAGAACCAACCCCTTAATTGAATATACTTGAGGGCCAGGGGCTCTAAGATGTAGAAATGACTGAAACTCCCCTTGAAGTTGTCCAACATCCCTGTTGAGACAGTATGGCTAAGGTGGTCCGATCTGCTGGTGGCTAGGATGTGGATACTATGTAAGGAGCTGTGCTCCTCTTAGATATATATAACTTAGAACTAACAATAACAATAATTAACCCTTTTACTTCAACAGGTTATGAGCCCGGAGGGCACTACCTTTTCTCCAACCGCAAAGCTGAGTGTTTTCTGTCTTCTTTTCTAATTTTCCTAGATAGCACAAGAAGTCGAAAGGCTTCCTTCTACTGCGTATGCATATTCAGCTTACCTGGAGCTATTTTTCCTTTATTAGATATTTCATGGAGTTTGGAAATCAACTAACAGGATATATCTAGAAACCTTTCCAGAAGGACCCTTTGACCCTCCATCTAAGACACCGAATTTGAATTATTAATCTCAAATAATTAAGAGACTTCAGATTATAATCTGGCTAATAAACTTGCCTAACCAGACCAGTCCCTTTGTCTGAGATTGTTGAAGCTCCTCGGTCAGGTGACCTGCGCCCTCACAGACCAAGACCGCCTGAAACGTAGTTTGTGATATGGTTGACCTCAGATTATTATCTCTTCTCCTAACAGCGGGAATAATACAAATGACTAAGACCGCTATGTATTTTACCTTTTGGATAGTCTCTACCCGGCTCGGATAACCCTTATCTATGCGGCATTATCATGTTGCCTGATGAAGGAAAGACTCCCCCCCAAGCCTCAACCAAAGAATTATCGATAGCCGTCTGTCCCTCTGTACCTTAATTATCAGCCTCCCTGAGAATCCATTATATCCCTCTCTAAGGAATCTCTTAACCTCGTAGGCAGCTCCGGCACCATTCCAAAGCTGGAGCAAACCAGCTACTGGCTGACCTAGAAGAGAGAAATACTCGACCTTCTGGATATGTGTAGATATGGAGATCTTCTGACTAAGAACGCTCAACCACCAACAGAGGGGAACGATCTCGCAACTCAGATTAAGGCCTAGAGGAGCCGCCAGGATCAAGTATGCAGCGCCATTCGAAGTCGACTCAGCTACAATGCCCAAGTGTTTACCATGGGGATCCCGATAGCACAGGGTATGATCAGTCACCTTGAAACCCGGTATCGCCCCGTTGGAAGCGCCATCTTCCAAGAGCTCAACCAAAGATATTAAGAACTCACCCTTAACTCTTGTAATTCGGTTATAGAATACGCAAATAAGCTTTATTAAGTAAGGGCTAAACTCTTGGAGATAGATGAAATCTGCCAGATAGGGGAACCACACTTTATTAACAAGTTCCTCTGCAGACTTGGCCCAGACTATAAAGTCTTCCTCACTGCATTCAATTAGAATTATAACATTCTTCCTATCCGAGATCTAAACAATCATAATATTATTCTCAAAGAGGCCATTACGTTCAAAACGGCCATCTTTGCCGCATCTCAGGAAGAGGACAGACAAAGAGGAGCCACTGCAAGGATTGCACATAAAGCCATGGTAGCCCAGGGCACCCCATGCTATAGACACTGTAGAAGAAAAGGGCATAACAAGTTAACTTGCTAGAAGCTTTACCCCGAACTCAGAAGAGAGCATAGCAAAGCTAGTTATAAGAGATAATAACAGAAAATGCAAAGTCGAGAGAAGGATAGGGAGAAGACGACTAATAAACTGGAATCTGCCACGTATACAACTCCTGCATACCTTTAACCTAATCAAGCTCGACTGGCTCTCTGGCAAAATGACTTCTAAGGTCACCTTGGATTGATTGGCTTGTTATTCGGACTATCTGGTCTCCAGGCATCCCTCTAAACTCAGGCCCTTAAACGGATCCACGTCTTAGATAGTAGCGCCTCCTTGCATATTTTCTGCCGACATAAGAACTTTATAGTCCTTTAAAAGTACTATAGATTACCTATTAACGGCATTGCAAATGCAAAAGTCATGCCAGGAGGATATAGAACATACTGCCTCCGCATGCAAGGGCCTAAGGGGTCACATAACGTTACCCTTAATAGCGCTCTGTATGTTCCAGAAGGACACGCTAACCTCTTATCCATGTCAGCACTAGAGAAGAAGGGTGCAGAGGTTATCTTCCGAAATGGAAAGGCAGAGGTCACAAACAAGGGAAAAGTCATCCTCACTGCGACAAGAATCTCAGGTATCTATGTAGTTAACGAAGCTAAGGAAGATCATTTTTAAACCGCTTTGGCCTCCTTTTCGGTGAGAGATCCTCGACTGCATCTTTGGCATAAGCAACTTGCACATTTGGGAGAGAGGAATATCAAGAGACTAATAAAGATGTCTACTGGAATTCGACCGGATGATTCTACCTCAAACCCATGTAGAGCCTGCGTATAGGGCAAACTCAGGGAATGTCCCCATATCCGACCGATTAAGAAAGGCACTTACCCTCTGGAGTATATTTATGCAGATATTACCAGACTATTCCCAGATATAGGAGTAGATAGAAGCAGGTACTAGGTTTGCCTTATCGATGACTTTACTCAAATATCCTAGGTATACCCAGTCAAAGAACGGTCAGAGTTTAAAGAGTGTTTCCATCATCTGTTACTATAGTTCAAGAGACCGGAAAGACGATGTCACTTCCTGCACCTCGACCGAGGGGGAGAGAACCAAAGCCACAGCCTGACCCGACTATGCCGGGACAGAGGAATCAAACTCTCCTACACAGGAACTAAACAGCATGAACAAAATAGATTGGCTAAAGTCCTCAATCGAATCATCCTGGAAAAACTTATACTAATACTGCTCAAATCCAGACTCGCTTTGAAATGGTGGCCATACTTCCTCAAGGCAGTGAACCGCATCCGAAATCTCTGTCCTACGGCAAGCATTTCCACTACCCTATACCAAGCCTGGTATGGAGATGTTCCTAACCTCAGCTATCTGCGAGTTCTTAGCTCACGAGGATGGGCTCTGCTTCTATCCTCTAAACAAAAGAAGATACAGTCAAAGAGCATTCCCTGCCAGCTTCTCGGCTATCAGGGCAGTACGAACTATATACTCCTTAACAAAAAGAGACAAGTCTTTGTATCTAATAATGTTGTCTTCTCTAAGACTATTAAAAATATTAAACCAACACTTAACAATCTCACGCATCAAATATGTAATCAGAGACCATCACAGAGACGACGAGTAGTCAGCAAAGAGGACAGCGATGCGGAAAATCCTATTATTCTAGAGCCATTGCCCCTCCTGATAGCGTCGAGAGAGGCGAACAGAAGCAGGGAAACCGGTCGTAGAGAGACGACGCCGGATAAGCCCCCAGTGGGAGATACAGGATAGGATCCAGACCAAGAGTCAACCAGATTAAGTATTCATGTTGCCATAGATAAGCACGAAGTATCATCAGAAGAAACAGAGGAGCATGCAGAGTCTTAGCTGCCCGAAAGATTAACCAGGGGATAGCTGCCATTAAGATATATACTAGCTAGCACAAAGTTCGCCTTCCTAGCAATGGTTGCAGAATAACTGTATCTAGTTGCTTGCAATATTAATTAGTCTAAGCTAAGAACCTTTAAGGAAGCTACGCAGGGTATATATGGAAAACTCTAGTAGGGAAGATTAAAGGATAAACACGGATCTCTGGTTGAGAATAATATCTAGACCTTAGTCATGCTTCCCCTAGGACGAAAGGCCCTTCGAGGCAAATAGGTATTCAAGCTTAAAAGAGGAGAAAATAGGCAAGTTCTACGATATAAAGCGCGATTTATTATAAGAGGTTTCGAGCAAAGGGAAGGAATTGACTTCAACGAAACCTTCGCCTCTATTATTAAGCTGATAAGCTATAAGATGATATTCGCTATTGCGGCAGCGCTCGATTTAGAACTGGAACAGATAGATGTTAAGATGGCCTTCCTCTATGGCCTCGTAAATGAGGAGATATACATCTAGCAACCCGAAGGATTCAACGATGGAAGTAAGAGAGTCTGCAAGCTCCTGAGAGCCTTATATAGACTAAAGTAAGCACCAAGGGTATAGTATAAGACTCTCTTAACCTTCCTCGAGATGCTTGGGTTCAAGGCTTTACTTTCAGATACAGGAGTCTTTGTAAAAGGTCACATGTTTATTGCGGTCTATATGGACGATCTACTTATTACCAGGCCCTCCAAGGATGAGATCATAGCGGTCAAGCAAGCTCTATATAATAAGTTTAAGATGACCGACCTGGGTCCATGCAAATACTACCTAGGCATATCTCTGAGAAGAGACAGAGCAAACCAATTGATTTTCTTGTCGCAGATGACCTACCTCGAGAAAGTACTTAGAGACTTTGGAATAGACCAGTGCGCTCCTAATGCCATACCAGTTTCAACTAATAAGTTCGGAGAACCAGGCCCTGACTATAAGGCAGCAGACGAACTTAAAGAGTGGTATGCTAAGGCGATTAGGTCCCTGATGTATCTTATACTAGGGACAAGACCCGATATTGCTTTTGCTATCTCCTTATGCAGTCAACACCTAGCAAACCCAACCAACAAGCATCAGACAGCTATCAAGCATATCTTTCAATACCTCAAGGGATCGCAAAATCTAGAACTAGTATACCAAGGTGAACTGCAACCTCTCCTCGGCTACACCGACTCGGATTAGGCGGGAGATCTGGAGACTCGAAGATCAACATCTAGATATATATTCAACCTTGGTACGGGCGCTATCAGTTAGAGCTCGAAGAGACAAAGAACTGTGGCCCTGTCTTTATACGAAGCAGAATACATAGGGCAAACCGCAGCCGCAAAAGAAGCAGTCTGGCTGCGAGGTCTGCTCCAAGAGCTGTTAAAAGAATACAAGGAGGTTCCAGAACTAAAGACAACTATAATCTTCGGGGATAACCAAGGAGCGATCGCGATGTCCAAGAATCCGCAGTTCCATATAAGAACCAAGCATATTAATATTCAGCATTATTACTGCAGAGAGAAGGTTAATGATAAAACTATTAAGTTCTAGTATATTTCAACAGGCAAATAAGTAGCCAACGGCCTAATAAAGGCCTTACCAAAGGATCATTTCCTTCTATTTAGAAATGCACTAGGTCTCAAAGAACGATGACCATAAGAAGGTGCAGAGATGAACCAAAATAAGAGACCTGCTATAGATAGATAGGAGACCCACGGATCTAAGATTATACGGAAACGTAAAGAAGGCGCAAAGGTAAGGTAGAGTAGGAGAGCTTCTAAGTAAGTAGAAGGAAAGCCATAATCTTAAGGTTATGCCAAGCATAAGGAACATGCAAAGATAGACTGAAGTAGGAGACCTATTATAGATAGGAGACCGGCGATTTCAAGAAAGATTTCAAGACCTGCAGAGACGGATGTAGGCAGGGGACCTTCTGCGGATAGAAGACCTGTAATCATAAGATCGCAAGACCTGCAGAGATAGGCATAGGCAGGAGATCTTCTGTATATAGAAGAAGACCAACAAGTTCAGGATTGCATTGGACTGAGAGGAAAGGTGTAAAAATGAACTTAGAGGGAGATCTTCTGTAGACAGAAGAAGACCTGTGGTCCCAAGAAAGCTTGCAAGACCTGCAGAGATAGGCTTTAGTGGGAGATCTTCTGTATATAGAAGAAGACCAATAAGTTCAGGATTACATCGGACTGAGAGGAAAGGTGCAAAAATAAACTTAGAGGGAGATCTTCTGCGGATAGAAGAAGACCTACTGCTCTAAGATTACATGAGACCATTAAGAGATCCTAAGCGCCCTTGTTGAGATAGCTCTTTCCCTGCAGTTTTTACCCACGAAGGTGTTTTTGGGGTTTTAACGAGGCTCGATAGGCATGCACATCGAGTCCAACAGCAGCTCGAGTGGGAGTGTTGAGACAGTATGGCTAAGGTGGTCCGATCTGCTGGTGGCTAGGATGTGGATACTATGTAAGGAGCTGTGCTCCTCTCAGACATATGTAACTTAGAACTAACAATAACAACAATCAACCCTTTTACTTCAACAATCCCCACGCTCCATGATTACTTTTCCCTCTTTCGAATTACTCTTGTATCTCTATCTCGCTGGCTGTAATATCTCGAAGGAGCTCGTTGTGCCTTCCGATTTTATGCTTTACTTCCATTCGTTGTTCAATTCCAAGCGGCGTCAGTGTAGTCCACACGGCCTTCACATTCATGCCCAAATAATCGACATCGGAACTCTACAGCATGCCTGGCCCCCAATTTTCCGATCCCACGCGCTTGCGTCGGCGACAGAGACGCACACATTCCCCTGCACTTCGCAGGCGCACCGTCGTCTTCAGACTTTACCGCACGCTCCGGCCCACGATCATGGACTTTGACAGATTCCTTTGCGAAAAGCGCGACGAAGTTCTGCTATCGTTAAAAGCTGGCGCGCAAGAGGTTTGGAAATCCCGATGGCATAACACTGAAGGATTCGATGAATACTGGCAGGGAGATGAAGTGTTTCAAAATCTGTTTACCGGGTTTGACAGTATCAAATCTCAGGTGTTAAGTGTCGAGTGTGGGGAGATACGCAGCGACATTAACACCATCTCTTGCCGATTCTTTGAAGCTATCGGGGATTTCTTCGACGAGCACATCGATGAATTTGAAAGTTTGTCCTTGGACACTGGAGCCAAGATTGAAACCCCAGACGTAGGAATATGGCGGCAGGAATGGGAGCTCTACTCCACGACAACCAAGACTATTGTTACGAAACCATCCCAGCGCCTGGGACCAAAGGGGAAGGGGCTTAGAACCGAGTATCGCCGCGAGAGGATTCCCGATAACACTCTTGCAAGAAGCTTTTACAGTCATTTCTAAACGCCGCCTTTCACCAAGCCAGATCAGCGCCGAGGATTCGTGACCATAGCTGATCCGTTGTAGTCAGTACTGACCTGACGTGATCACCACCGATCTCACAACGACCTCACTGATTACTACCAAGCACCGTGAGTATATAGAGCACATTCATTCGCACTTCCATAGGTACTAGCTCACCAGCTATCAATAAAACTTCTTTACATTGATTAAGCCTAACACGCATTGAATCTACCATCAAGAGACGTGACACTTCGACAGCGCGCAGCATCACGCCCTACGCAATCTGCAAACAATAAACCTAGCTGTTGAATGTTGGAGGGTTCACCCTCAACTTCAGGATCAAGGTTCAGGATTAAAGTTTGACGCCCTAAACTTAGATCGTAGGGCTTTCATCTAGGACTTTCTAGGACTCAAGTCCTAGAAGGAACCAGTCAAAGATAAAAGGTCTCAATGGTCCTTCGATTGCGAAAGGATCAAGAAATATACACAATGGACCTTAATATCTGACACTAGCACGGGCTTAGTTTATCCATAATTGGGAACCACCGTCACAATAAGTTGTTACATATTAAACTTTAAATTTTATTTAACGTGGTTGATAAGCGAGCGACGCAGACAAGTAAGCGACTACCTTATATACTTTAAAATCCAGTTTTTAAAAGCTTATAAAAAGCTTAAATTAAGTCTAAAATAGCTATAATTTTAATAGCTTATATATAAGTCTTAAATTAAGTTATATTATTTTTCTTAAATTCTTTAAAAAACTAACGTACGCGATAAGCGAGCGAGACAGACAAGCGAGCGAGACAAGAATCTCAACCTTCTTAAGATAAATCATAATAAAAACACAACAGACCATCTGATCAATTAAAATCACTCACTATACCCTTCTCCAGATACCTCTGGAACTACCTGGCAGGTCCTTGCATTATGCCCGGTCTTGCCGCATACACCACAACGCCGAACACCCGGTCCAACCGACCTTCCTCGACCACCACTTCTTGATGATTCGGCCAATACCTGCATACTCACATCCATCTGATCAATTAAATCCTGACCTTCCTGTATAAGCAGACTCCCTCTATTCTGTAGGCGTGTCTTCTTTGCCCTACGCCGCCGGCTAAGCATATCATTTGCCTCACGAAGCTCCCGGTTCTCAGCCTCTAATAAGGCAGTCTTCTGTATATTCCTCGTAACTGCCTTTGTAAGAGACTGAAGAGCTTCAAGGATTGACTCTGGAGAGCTACTGTGATGTCTTCTGATTCGATCACTAAGGTATTTAGACTGTGATCCAGCCTCGAGGACTGTATTTGGGGTCTTTGAAGTCCAAGCTTGAGCTTGTTGGGCCACCTCTTCAACAGGCGTTGGAGTCCGTAGCTGCACATCAAGCTTTGAGATCACAACTTCCGGGTCAAAAGGAGCAAGTCCGGCTCCTCTAAAACCCCCCTTGATATTTGACTCGGTTATAGTTAATCGAAAGGCGGCATAAAAGGCCGGGAAGAACTCGGTCTTGGAAATGTGGGTTATAGACCGTCTGATCAGTCGCTCTATTTCTCGCCCATATGCCTTTTTCAGTGGCCCAAAGCACCCAACATCAAGTGGCTGTAATAGGTGCGAAGAATGAGGAGGCATACAGAGTGTAATAATATTGTTGACCTCACAATATAGCTGGAAATCGACGGATTGATGACTTTCATGGCCATCGAGGATTAGAAGACGATAGGCACCAACTGATCGGATGGTTGTACATCGATTAAAGTGCTTTAGCCAGTCGAGACCTGTCTCATTATCTGTCCAGCCATTTGGTGTTGTGGTGATAGCCCAAGTGCCCGGGAGGTTGCTCTCTTGGTACCAATTGGCAAGGTGATATTGACCTGCAACCACTAGATATGGATCGATCGCTCGGCCTTCTGCATTGATCGCTTGAATCGCAGTAACCCATTCCCGGTTTCCAGGCTGGACTGACTTGGGGTTTCCATACCTTTCCGAGCTGGTGATAACTTTACCGCTTGATATCATACCCATCATAAAGCCGGTCTCATCAAAGTTCCAGATATCATCTGATCGGATGCCATATTTCGCGATTGTGTTCTCCACGAGCCTAAACCAATTGCGAATAATTGTAGGATCTTCGCATTTAGCCCTCTGATAGTCATATTTACGAAAAGAACGCATCTTAAGGTCTGGTTGCCGCTTGATAAAATTGATAGCCCAGCGCTTGCCAACTGGTGATGCGTCGCGCTCAGCAAGCAGTCGATTTGCCATTTCTTCAATATCACGATGCCGAGAGGGAAATCCTCGCGAATCCAGATTCAGAATATACTCGACTATAAGCTGTTCCTCCTGATCACTTAGTTTCCGACCATTTGGAATACAATCAGCGCGAGCCTGCCGACCCTGAGATCGGTGGTGGAGGGTCTGGAAGTGGATATCATAGAGAAATGCAGCTCGTCGCAGACTTAATTTTGGGTCTGCCTGATAGGCCTCAAGTGCAAGAATAATACGAGCCTCAGCAGTAGATTGCAACATGTTATTTGGTTGAGAATCAATTGATCAGATAGTGTTAATGTAAGGTGAGGGATTTTTGTCTCGCTCGCTTGTCTGTCTCGCTCGCTTATCGCGTACGTTATTTATAACTATACTATTTTATAAAATATTTTTATTAGATTTTTAGCTATTTTATTTAAGGTATAAATCCCTATTGGGTAAGCTATTTTTAGCCGTACAGTGCCGTGCGTCGCTTACTTGTCTGCGTCGCATGCTTATCAACCACGTTATTGTTTTTATTAATTTTTTTTCTTCATCTCAAGATTGCGGCCTCAGGCGCACCAAGTTCCCTCAACACCTTCCCAGAAGAATGTTTCACCTAACCTACCAGACGCCCGAAACCAACACTTAATAGGACGAACCTTCCCCAAGGACCCCAACCGACCGCTATTTTTACCTCGCATGTGACCATTGGGCTCCGATCACTTACAGGCGTTTTGCCTTGCACGCATCCTTGATACTTCCTGCTTCCTCTATCGCCCAATCAATCTAAGTTATCGCGACCACTCGAAAGTGATGTACATTTTTGTGCGTGAGCTTGCCCCAGACCTATCCATCACTACACCTTCTTTTTCCATCGCCGAGGACGCTTCTCTTTGTCTATGGCGGCCGAGAAAGCTTCGGGGCCGGACATAGGCACTTTACTTTAGGCACTTTTAGGCAAGGGGACAACTCACCGCAGCATGAGGCTGACAGGTCGTATTGTGGAACCCACGGCAAGAAAGAAGACTGTGTGACACCGATGACACGGCGAAGACTCGCCTCGTACGACCAGGCCCTGCACAAGCCTTCCACCTGCGCGAATTATTCAATCTCTCGGTGTATGTTTGGCCAGGCAGTGCCCCAAAAAAGGAAAACAGAGTACAAGGTACCAGGCATCGGTTGCTTCCCTGTCTCTGTAGGAGTGACCGCATACCTCGTGAGTTATCTCTGATCCTTCAAATGGCACACGAACACACTTTACGTCGCGGTCCGCCTGCCTTCTAACTGTACAGTCTGGTTCCTTTTGGCCAGTGTATGTCAGTGCTGATTGGCCCTTACTTGTAGGCGGGCTACTTGCACGAGCAAATAGCATTTCTTGGCGATTCTTTGGGACTTTGGCCGTTGTGATTTTAAGTGATTCGATGAATTGAAACACGCTCTGCCGAATCTGCCTGACAGCACTCGGACTTTGCCCCCAGGCCCCCAGTCTTCGGGCTTGCCATGCTGTCAAAGGGGGTTGAAAAAAGGGTGGAGAAGAAGGGGATGGGGGTAGGGGGTGTGCCTGTGTTGCTGGGTGCTGCAAAGAAGGCATCCAGAAGGCAACCAAAACATAATACAACCGTTATATTCGGCGCCGTAAAGTATCGCCTATTTGGCATACTTTGCAGGCTTTGCACTTCAGGGAGGTGACCACCTGAACGCCGATTTTCCAACCTTTCATTTTATTTATAAACCTTTGCCCTCGTCCTCGTGCACTCCCTCTTTCTTGCTCGGATTTTCGCACCTCTCGTGCTTTCTCGCGACAAGTCTCACTATTCACAAACCGAGATTCCTCCTTTGAATTTATATCAGCTACAACAGCTCTGCCGCTTTTCTGGCAGACTCCTTTTATTCGAGACTCCATCATGGGTGGTGGTCCGAATAAGTCCGAGGTCCCGTCGCGGGTCGAGCCTTCCGGCGCATCAGAAGATGCTCCTGACGAGTACGTCAAGACTGATACCATCAACCCGACAGGCACTGGACTGACAAGGAGCAACATAATAGCCGCCCTATGACCGACTCCGTATCTCAAGACACTTCGGAGGTGCTGGCTGTGACAGAGCTCGATGGTGCATCATCGCAGTCTCCCCGGCCCGACAAGGGTGACGCCGTTGGTATTGAGAGCCACGAGAACACCAAAGTGGACGACAGCGATGACAATATAGCAACTATCACTGGCGAGAGACAAGATTCTGCCAATGCCGTCGCCACGGAGGTCGAGGTCGTCAAGATCGACAATCAAGACGCACTGCATGACCCTGAAAAGATTATCAGGCAGCATGAAAGGTGTTCAATTACCAACGATCAACTGGTGGCCGAAGTGAAGGGTATCTATGACGCCTTGGCGACGGTAGAAAAGGAATGCATAGAAGCCGACGATGGCCAGATGCCCTGGACAGACGGTCCGCTCCACATCCCCGACTACCTATTGACGATCCCAGAGGCCAAATTGATACTGCTTCAAAAGGGCAATATGAACCCAGCTGAAACTGTTCGTCTTTGGTACGTCAAGGCTCAGAAGGACGCCACAAAGGGAGATAAGAAGCCTTGGACTCTCGAATCAGCCAAGGACTTGCCCGTGTCTGAAAAGACAGCTCCGCACGTTGGCGACCCCGAGGACTATCTGCATGGATTCCAGGTGGCTTTGGAGTTGCGTGCCAAGAAACTTGGATGGCCTGAGTATAATAAGCTGGCCGCCGTCAATGTGGCCGAAATAGGCGAAGAGGCTCACAAGAAGGTGATAGCCGGGAAACACTACCTCGACATTGGATACGACTTGGTAGACCAGTTATTGCGCGATCTCGAGACCGCCAAAAGCAGAACAAAAGAGCCTGCTCTGGGCCTCTGGGCCATTAGGCGATGCATCCACGCGGGCCGACATCGCCTCTGGAACATGGTTCAACGCTTTTACTTATGCGACCTCCTTCTCTGCCTCCACTTTCGCTCCAGCCTCCTTTCCTCTTGCAGCACGCAGCAGACGGCTCTCAAGGAGACGTCTCCTGAGGGGGTGATGGCAGCTCCCGAGGAGGAGGCTTCTGAGAAGGTTGCTCCCGAGGCGATAGCTGCTCAGGAAGCAGAGGTTACCTCCAAGGTTACCGAGGAGATTTTTAAACAGATAGCTCTCACAGAGGCAGACATTGCTTCCGAAAAGGCAGTCGTCGCTTCTAAGGAGGTCGCACCCGAGATGACTCACGAGGAGGTGGACACAGAGAAGGATTTTGTGAAGATAATTCCCGAAAGGGCAGAGACTGCTCTCGAGAATGTCGATCCCGAGAAAAAATGTCTCAAGGGGTCAGATGCGGACGTAAATGCTGCTCCCGAGAAGGCCGCCACCATCCAGCAGCCTTCAGACGATGACGCCAACCTATCCGCCCAAGAGCCGCAGCCCTCTCCCGTGAAGGCTGAAGCGGATGTAGATACGGCTCTCGAGGCCGACGCCACCCAACAGAATTCAGCCCAGGACGCCAGTCCATCCACCCCGGAGCCCCAGACCTGCGCTGAAGAGGCCGACTTTGCACCCGAGAATGTAGGCAAAGACACGGGGGATACAGCAGTCGACGCTGTTGCCCTCGACGAGAAGACAAAGTCTGAGTCTGAGAAGACGCCCGCGACTGAATTGCCAATCTATGTTGATAAGAGGCTGCTGAGTGATCAGAGCCGGTATAAAAAGGTTGGCATGGAATACTGGGTGCTGATCTCCGGTCGATGGATCCGTAGTCTCAGAATTGAGCAGTATGCAGCTCTCATTGCGCTGCACCGCACAAACTTACACGAACATTACGACTTTTTGTTGGCCTCGCAGCACCCCTCGGCATCGCCAGCGCTCCGTGGGCTCGCAGCAAAGTATAACATGCCGGCAAGAATGTGGAAGCACGGAATACATTCCTTTCTCGAGGTCCTGCGCACACGACTTCCCGAATCTCAGGATATAATGGAGCAGTTCATCATACTGGCGTATGGTATAATATCTTTGATGAGCGAGACCGTCCCGAGCTTCCGTCTCACCTGGGTCGAATGCAAAGGAGATTTAGCACGATACGGGTAAGTAGAAGCGCCACCCCTGCTGCGTCCACTATACGATGGACAGGTGTGCCAACAGAGACTGATAATTGCTGCTTAGAATGGCCGTTGAAGAGAGGGACATGAACGTGAGGGAGTGCTGGAGGAACACTGCACGAGAGGAGTACACTCAGGCCCGGAACGATGATCCCACGGTCGGCCGCCTCTACCATCACCTGGCCATCTTGGTCCAGCCCCGTTTCTCCTCGCCTGACGCAAGTTTCGACGCTGATGTGTCCAGGTTTCTCTACTACATCAAGTCTCTCGTCGTCAAAACCCCGTTTTACGCCGCGCGGGAGTCCTTGCTGACCGTTATCAACCCGATTTTTGGCCGGAATAAGGAGGCAGCTGAGAAGCCGGCCAGCATCCCCCAGACCGACCAGGACCACTTCCTTACCGCTGTTGCCCACCTGATTCTTGCTTCTCTGGAGCCTGAGACCCTCAAGGCAAACGGCTATGAGGAGAGCAGGAATAATCATCTCCAGACTGTCTATACAGCACTGGAGAAAATAAAGGTCGGTGGACCTGCCAAGACATCTAGAATTTGTCCAAGGTATGTGCTGGCCCCACGGAATCGCGTTACATTTGTCTCTAACTGACCACTTGCAGCGCCCAACTCGGCCTCTTGCTCTGCCTGTTGCTGCTTGGAATTCCTCTTGCTGATAACAGATGGAGCCCGATGATGGCGAAGTTTGCCCCCGACCTTGTGACGGACGAGGACCGCTCCGATTCTGACGCCATGGCCAACGCGAGGGATATCCATGATGCAACGATCGAGCTGATCAACACCATGGTCCCGTATCTCTTGGAGGGCGCAGATACGCGTGCCTTAGGGGTGTGGAGATTCATCCTGGTAATCCTGATGTTCATGCGCTCCTTAAAGACGCGGCCCGCCCTGAGGGAATGGTGGTTCGGTTCGGCTTTCCACGCAGAGGCTCTCACGCCTTACTTTAACCTGATTCTGCGCCAGGACGAGATTCAAGGTGCCGCTGCCTTGGCGAGCGCTTCCCAGTCCGAACTCATTACAATTTTGCTCGCCGCTCAACGAGAGAAAGAGGCTCGGCAAGTATGCGTTCAGTACCAAAGATAACATCGAGACATACCTTCGCGATACAGAGGAGTAACGAAAGGCAGAACGCGCCAGGAGTACGGCCACTCCGGACGACGGTACAGTCACCACAGACGAAAATAGTGTCATCACGGGAATGGCCACAGTCAACGCGGAAGGGAGTCAGACTGCAGCGGAAGAGTCCATGGCCACGACAGAGCAAACTACAGCTAGTGATACGACGCACAAGAAGGGCGAGGACACCAAGGCACCGGGCCCGGAGAGGATGTACGCCAATCTTCTGCCGGAGCATTATCTATTTACGGGCTGATTCTTCGCCAAAGAGGCTGAATATGGACCCTGTGACAAGTCTCTGCAGAAGCCTACCAAAGACGCCGTGCAGACCGCAGAGGTTCCAGCCGTGGAACAAGCACAGGAGACGACTCTGACGGATGCCAAGACGGATAGCGAAGCAAGGGATGGTGTTCTAACAAATTCCGCGTCAGAGAATGAAGCGGAGTATGACATTCTGACAAATTCTGTTGCTGGTGAAGCCCAGAAAGAGCAGCAGGCAAAGATAGAAGCCGTGGAGGCACCATCGGCAGACGTGGAGATGAAGGAGAGCGAAAACAAAAATGCGCGACAGCAAGACAGCGACACACAGACGAAGGAGGAAGATGCTGAGAAGACGCAACTGGAAGACGAGCAGAAGCGGGGAGAAGCCGAGGAGGCACGACTGGCCCAAGAAGCCGGAGAGGAGGAAATACGGAGGCAGGAAGGACTTCGTCGTGATCCCCCCCTCTTCCCCAACGGCTGGCTCAAGCAGTCGAAATACAGCTTCGACGAGATACAGGTTTTCGACTATGTCGAGAGCCTCGAGATGTGTAATGATCGGTTCGTCCAGATCTTGCGCCTGGCTACTCAGCTAATCGGCGACTTCTTCGACCTCAAGACAGACGAGGAGAGACGCCCTTGGTTCAGTGTGCCTGGGGTCTCATCGGTGCCGAAGCTTGAGCCAAGCAAGATGATGCCGGATATCATCGAGCGCGACAGCGGCTTCAGAGTCGTTTTTGTTGATCCATCTTTCCACGCTGTCGAACTCAAGGAGGAGGAGGAGAGATTGGCCAGGACAGAGGAAATGCGGAAAGAGAAGGAGAGACAGAACGAGGAGAAGAGCGCTGAGGCTGCTCCAGGCGCGGCTGCAGTTGTCGACGAGAAGACTGAGGGCAACGCAGAGGAGGCTCACGGCTTTCGGTGCCCCTGTGGCGTTGACGTGGTCGATCGGCCTCTCGGATTGCTTAGGTTGCTGTTCAATCGTGTCAGTGGACTGGCTCGCTTCGGGGATCTTGTTAGCTGCACTGACCCGACCGGCGCACTCAGCATAATAGCAGAGAATGGCGATGATGATGACGCGACTTCGGCTTTTGATCTGGAGCTGAGGAAGACCACCCGTACTGCGAAGACCATCACGGCTGCTGAGGAGCCATCGGGCACCGATTATGCCGAGCCTACCGAGTCCGAGGCGTGGAAGACACTTCCGGTGCAAGGCATGAACGATTCGCAACATACGAAGGGCAGCCACTCACGTCCGGACGCAGACGCGGACGAGGACGGATGGTTACATGTCAGCGACAACTGTCTCGTAGACGACGAGCCGTATCCAACGGTTCAATTGGACAAGGTCGAGACAAAGTCAATACTCTCGCGCTGATTCTTCTGGTAATGGGGATGAACAGTCCTGGGTTGATGCGAGGGGAGATGCCAGAAGGGCATGCATTCAAATAATGGGCGGCGAAGATGAGCACGGGATCTGTATTTTCAGCGACAGTTCTCTATGACGATCATGTATTAAATTGAGGCGTTCGAGGGGGTAGGAGGGAGGGGGATCAGACATTTCATCCGGATACTTTCAACAAAGTCTGAGCAGCCTCGATAAGGTAGCGTTTCTTTTATTTCCTATATTCTACCTCTTCTGAGTCATTCGCCTCTTATTTTTGCATGCCTTCACTGTGGAGTGACTAAGTCGTGAGTCCCTAACATGTCACTTGTAGGGGCCTCGTGGCGGGAGGATCTGGGAATAGCTTCCTTGCTTCCCTCCACCAGCCTGCCAGAGTATGCCCAATTCTCCCATACCAACGATTATACTTAAGTCTCCAACGAAATCGCTAGTCTCTAGTGACTAAATCCCGCGATCTTGAAGCGGCCGTAGATTCACACGGCAGATAAAGTACGATGGACAAGGTTCCAAATAGCCTGCGACTGCACCCAGCCAGGAAGGAGAAGATAGCTAGGGGGACGACCTCAATGAGCGCTTGAGTGCTCTCCGGGAGAACCGCCAATTTGTAACCCAAGCTCCTTGATGATGGCCAAGATTGGTTTGCTGAAATTCCAGTCCTGTTCGCTAGGCGATTGAGGGCCATGCAAAACAAGCGCGACTGGGTCGTAATGGTACTGGATCGTTCAAACACAGGAAGTATTGATGATGACTTCCTGGCAACAGGAGCACTGTGAGCAGGGACCGACAGAGGACTCTTGTCATTAACGACATAGACAATCGAATTTATGTTATTCCGCTTGCTTCGAGTGCTCGCGCAAGAATTTTGACGTTGTACACCAGGACGTGCGCTTTCAAGTGGCATTGATACTACAGGCAAGTCGACGGCTTCTACATCCATGAGAGACTCGATTCTGTCAGAAGGTTGAGGCAAATTAGCTATCCTTGACTTGGTAGGAATCTTCTGAGGGAGAGTCTGTGTAGTTGGAACAATCTTTTCTTGTTGTCAAAGATCAAAATCTTTCGTTTTCAGAGTGGCCAGCTGGGGTTCTCAAAGTCTACATCCCTATTCAACAGAGTCTTTATATCTAGAAAAGACTGGCTTATTGACATATGAGAACCTGATGCTTCAGGATTAGATTTGTCAGTTTACATGCTATATAGCCGCAGGATTCCCAGCGTTGACCTTGAGGGTGATTGCCGAATGTTTGTACAATACACTCTTTCTGAACTCAGCCACTGAAAGATCATGTACATCACGATGGAAAGATGCGAAGACTGGACGCGGAAGATTAGATGTTTGTATTTGACTAAAAATGTCCTATATGAGATTTGATTTCTTCCCACTCACTAAACTCCGTCATGCTGACACCCGTACTTGCCAAATTGTCTCGAATACCTTTAGAAATACGTTCATGGCAATATAGTTTCGTCACCTTCACAGGTTCGGTATCTCCAGTTGCTTTAGTAGAACCATTAATAGGTACAAAAGCCTTGATTCCCGGAAAATTCGAAACCGCTTCAGTGTCATACAAGACCCTCTCAGATGGCATTTCGAGCTCCATCATATTACCATCATACCATCTAAGCTTAGGGTTCACCACCACTGTCGAAGGCGTCTGCCAATTCGCGGCCTCAGTTGCCTGTTCGGGGTCGGGTTGGTAAAGAACGACTGATATCCCAGACGCTTGAGCCTCTAAAGTGTGAGGATGGGCTTGAGTCCCTGTCGTTTCGGGCATTGCTCCAGTCTCTGGTATTTGGGAATGTTCCGGCTCAAGAGCAACAAGACCTTTTGAGCTTGATGTCTTGTTCTCGCTTGTCTCTCTGTTACTGTCCAGACATGGTAGTACATGGGATATTTGACACCCTTTGTCTTCAATTGCAAGCTCAGCGCCGCGAGGAACAGCCAGGACTCTGGGTACTGGGGCCTCTGATGTCTGTGAGGAAGCTAGAATGGCTGATGGTTGGGGAAGATTTGTTGTCTCTGGCGTGTCGAGAAGTGCTAGAGTCCCTGATGTACAGGAAAGGCCTGATTCCACAGCAAGAGATTGTGTGCTTGATGCTTTGTTCTCGGTTATCTCTCTGCTAATCCTCAGGTAGAAGAATACATACAGTGGCAATTTTCAATGTCGTCGGATCGCCGTTCATGGTCGCCAAAGGTGAAGAGATAGGATACTTCCACCAATAAACTTTTCAGGATTTCCGATAACGAAGCCGATATTTTCATCAAAGCTTTGAACATTGTGCTCGTGGGTTGATTCTGACGAGAATTCGGACGCCAGTGTTTGCTTTTCGTCACGATCTTAGACAATGCGAAAACGTGATAAAGCAACGATAATAAATCAAAGGGTTCTGAACAGAGGCTTGGTAAGTCTTGGAGTGGTCTTGGCTTGATATCGATGCAGTCACCATGGAGTTTGCTCGCTCCTCGGTGGTCCATCCTCTTAAGTAGTTACTTTTAGCACTAGTACTCTTGCCTTTCTTTTCTTTTTCCCCTTCGGTTGAACGTACCCTTGCTTAGAGTTTTGCATCTCATTTATGCATGCCTGCGAACACCTTATCCATTACTACGCCCCGCTCTTTGTCCTCGACAGGCAGTGACGTGGGCCCCTGTAACAAAGGCCCGTGGGTTCGTTTCTTCTTCCGGCTATCGTCAGTCAGGGTAGTCATGATCACCATTCGGCCTAGGAGGACAGGGGTGCTTCCGACCTGATCATCTCGGACGTGCTTGTATGATGGCCGAAAGCACGACTTCAATAGCTGTTTGGGTGCTTTGAGCCCACGGCGCCCGAAGGCAGTTACTATTTCGCTTTGCCCAATGGAGAGACACGGAGAGACGAACGGCCGGTTCAATTGAAAGCGTAGAGATGTAGAAAGCATAATCGCTGCAGCTGCTAATTCACATGCAACGATAGCCCTTCCTCTCGAAACACTACGCAACAGCAATCAGCTTTTATTGAAGTCCCTGCTGCACCGTAGTGATTTGTATACAATTACTATCTGGAAACATTCCCATTCTTGACTCGTAGCATTCTCACCCGGGTCGACCCAGCTTGAAGTATATGAGGAGGCTATCTGGAGTAACTCAACCACGACTTCCTCGTTTCAAGCTTCCATGGTACAGCTCACGGCAGGAGAGCGCCGACCTTGGCATTAAAGTCCCAAGATGCATCCCAAATTATTATCAGCAGAAGAAGATAGGATCAAGGTTGCTAGCTAGAAATTCAATGCAATTTGCCCTGCTATCGAAATTTATGTACAATTTGTATTAATATAGATCTGTGAATATTCACCATCCGCTGGAGTGGTATCCGCGGTTGGCCTCAACGGAAAAGTACTGCCTCTGGCTGCTCGAGTTCACATACTCGCTCTTCATGCAAGGCCTCTCCGGGTACTGCTTCAAATTGGCCACATCATGTGATTTATGGCGTCGCTTGAGGACGGCATTGGCTGTCGACGACTTCTGCTGTCGCTCCCAGAGGAGGTGGCGTCGAAGAGACTCGGTCAATTCAGCCGCCAACATGTTGCGACGAGTGGTCCGAGGTGACAGCGCAGCTTGAGGCTGAATGCGATTGGGGCCAGTCATGATGGGTTGAGCGCTAGAACTAGGCACCTCACGAATAGGCTTGAGACCAGGACCACGCATGCCCTTCATCATCAGGGGAGCCTCGTCAGAATCATTAGGCGAGGCACCCAATGATGGGCCGTGGGCCATACAAGATCGTGGAATGGCTGAAGTCGATTGAGAAGCGTGGTTACCAAGAGTGCGTGCGCGATCATTCTGGGCAAGCATGAGGGTAATGAGCGATCGTCGTGAGGTCAAGTTGGGCTTAGAATCCACTCGCTGGAAGAACTTATCGTCCATGCTGGATTTGCCGCTCTCCTCCGTCGCGTCCTCCCAATCCGAAGAGTCGTCATCATCATCAATGGCGCCCTCGTCGATGTAGTCGTCGGTATCCGAGTCTAAAAGAGCCTCATCCTCTATTTTGAGTTTGCTGTTGCTGAGGCTCTGGCCCTGTTCATTAGACACAGGCGATGACTCAGGCTCAGGAATCGCGTCTGATGATTGAGCAGCACCGGGAATAGTTCGAGGGGTAGGAATCTGGGAAGGCAAGAAGCCACGCACGACAGTAGTGCGGGGAGGATTTTGAAGCAAAGGTTCTGGTGAACTCTCTGAAGCTGTGATGGGCTTTGCAGGCGATTGTGACTCGGTTGTAGTAGAACCAGATCGCTCGAGGGCTGGAGGAACTGGCAAGGACTCCTTGGCGACGTGAGCATCATGGCGATGGGTTGACAGAAGACCCTTGTCCTTGGCGATGGAAACAATCATCTTCTTGAAGTCCTCGGGGCTGATGTGGCGTCCGCGATTACTTCGCATCTACGAGAGACCCAACACTGCCAGATAGTTGAGGCAGATTAGGTCTCCTCGGCTCGGAAGGAATGTTATGGGAGAGAGAATGAGTGGTAGGAGCAGTCTTCTCCTGTTTGCCAACAACAAAGGTCTCTCTTTGCCAGAGTCGCCAGAAAAAGTTCTCCAGTCTTCGACCTTGCTCAACAGAGTCTGCGCATCGAGAGAAGACTGACTGGCCAGCATATCCACTGTCAAAACATGAGTGTCTAGCCGATAAGGCATTACAATGGAGAATTGAATAGTGTAGGTGAAAGGAGCGTTGAGAATAAAACAAGTTCGAAATTAAGAATGAATTAATGCAGCAATGGTGATAGACAGCTAAACACGCTGGCTGGGTACTCCCACCATATAAGTCAAACATGCCATACTGAGACACGTGGGTGTGAACCACCGGAAGCAAAAACAAAGAGGATGGTAAATGTCGCCCCTTGCAAATCAATTGCTCAGTCATGTCTCTCTCTGCACCAAACCAGGAAGGGGCTTGTTTCTGGCTCCATTTTGACCTACCGGGTAGGTTTCCCTGTCCGGGTGACACCATCTTTATGGCTTTAGCGAATGCACGAAGCTTGTACATTGGCACATCCCTGCATAAGGTCGTCGCGATAACAGCAAGGGTAAGTAGCTGGACTCTCAGGCAAGGAATCTAGAATACAGCGGCAACACGGGATACGAAGTTGAGGCACGTGTGCATAAGCGTGGATGCTAAATCATGGACAATCTCACCTGACGCTCGATTCTCTTCATTTTCCAAATGCCGTAGTAGCTAAACAGGTAGCAGCAACGGTCATCAAGAGGGTCCAAACAGCGGCGCCGGATGTTTGCACTGAATGCGGGCCGCCCCCACCTCCCGTGTTCCATATGTAGATCTTTCCCATCATGCCGAATGGGGACTGGCATGCACACCAGATGGGAGCTATGAAGGCGGGTGGTACTTCGTCATGTTAGCGCAGTTTTCTCCCCCCTACCTGGCCATGGGATCAGCTGCTAAACGCGCAGGCGCATCAACTGCAAGTCGAAGTTGACCTGGCTGGTCCGAGATGGCCCCGGGAGAGGTCTCGACTCACAACAGAGCAATTTACGTCACCTCTAAGCCCAGATAACACTATTAGGCGAGAGCTGTTTATAACCCAGTCAGACGGTCCGATGCGGGTATGAGTATTAGGTTGCAGCGCTATACGCGAGTCGCACTTTTTACAACGTGCTGAGGTTGCAGGAAATACATCAAGCTAAATGTGCCGGGGCTCTTGGGGGCAGCGTACGGCATCTTGGCTACGATGCGATTCGGCTTCTTTGTGATTCAGATCAAGTAGAAGCGCGAGATGAGGTATTAACACAGAATCAAAACCTCTTCATTGGATCTAGATAGTTTCTTGAATATGATTCTCATGTTGATGAGGGTTCGAAACACTACTAGCTGTAATAATGCTCCTCTGAAGTTGGTGAAGCTTCATCGCTAATTCCCCAGTCTCCACGTCGTGTCCGTTTCGCGCCAAAAACACGTACAGCCGCGCTGACGGGGCACGCTTGCACTAAAGACCATGAAGTTCCAAACTGTTTTTTTAATGAATGAGTTTTCATAAATTGTTTGACCAGAGTGTTGCGCCAACAAAAGGACAATTTTTTCAGGTAATTCCGAATTGCCAAAGGAACCTGCATGTTGGTTAGCTGAAAACTTCGAGGTCCTCACTCTTTAGTCTACCCTACACATGTCGCCGTTCTGGTGTATCAACCCGGAAACTTCGTTTAGACGAAGCGAACCTTGGCCTTGTATAAAACAAAGCTTATAGAAATATACGACGTTGATATCTGGTCATCATAGAATGATGCGACAACTCGATGAACTGTTCCTTCCCAGATCATGGTGAGTAGCTGTTAGCCGGTTTTCAGCCGGAGAATTGTATCACCTTTATGGAGATCATCCACGAAACATTTTAGCTCTACCCGTTGGCCAAGCTTAGTTGGCTACCCACGGCACGAATGCCATCAATGCCATTCTTCAACTAGCTCTCCGGCGCATGGCAGCTAGTCTCTTGAATATCCCCTCTCGAGCGACATCGAAATGCGACGACGCTTCCTCCCTACAAAGCGACAAGCAACCCTATCGCCCAAGATGTTGTTCACACGCTAGCATCTCGACACAAACGACGAGCCCTGTCGCATCTCCAGCTCGGACCGCGATGGCTTCAGCGCGTTCTGCACGTTGTGGAGGCCATGGCTCACCGCTCTGATACATGGCCGATTTAAGCTAGAAGGCCAGTCACATCTCAAGACAACGTTTCTTCATCGCATTCACGTACACGGTCGCAGTCTTTCCTCGTTCTCGACTTGGCCATCGGCGAGCCACTCGATTATAAGTGCTATAGAACTATGGCCGCACTCTAATAATGGCGGCTGGTGGTGAAGTTCAAGCATATTTCATGTTATCCATGTCATGAAATGGCCAAGACATCCGAAACAAACGCTGGCCAGTAATCCTCCACAATCCACCGTTTCAACCGTCGCAACCCCAAGATTAATGAGGAGATCTTCAGCTCCGAGTCCGTCCCGCCAAACTGAACCCCCTTCAAGAGCACTGGCTTGTCGTTCTCGTCCAAGATGCTCGCAACGAACTGCCAGTCGTGTCCCTGAAGGAGGAAATCGATCGGCCGAAACGATGGGCTACGTTTGTGTTGAAGGCTGCGCCACCGGGCTGATTGCCAGGATCCTATCTGCAATGTTGCATTGTCGCGGTCTATATTGGAACGCTTGGTCTCGATGGAGAGCGCGATGGGTTGTTTACAAAGGTCCCTAGGTCGGTGTGATTGATCGATTGAGCCGGTCGTGTTTGGCAGATCTCTTCGATAGCTCGTTCCACAGCGATTCCTCCTTCAGGTTTGTAAATCATACAGAAATCTACTATTTTGGATGGCGCTTCTCGAGGTTTGCTGTCGCGGATGATCTGCGCGGCTTGAGAATACCGAAAGTCAACTGGCCCATGGCTCACGAATCCAGTACTTTTTCGGGAAGCTTGCTCAAGGATCTTAGCGTCGATTTCTCCGTTCCGCGTAGCCTCACATTCCCAGTTAATCTCGCATTCAGCAGCGCGCGTCATCAATGATTGTACCCAGCCGATTAGCGGCAGGTCGGTCGCCATGGATTCTGTCTGCGCTCGGGTGGTTTCCGTTTCGTCGAATGCGGATAGTGGTATTCTGGAACTTGCGTTTTGAAGCTGTGTCATCACATTAAAAAGGCAAGACGGCAGACTAGAGTGAGGATTGGTAATGTTCCAGTCAACATGCCTTATTCTTCAGCGAAGCTGGCAGAATATCATGACCCACTCCGATATCGTCTCGTAAAGTACGGAGGGGCGGAGGGTATGTGTCTAGTATGAAGCTGCCCATTCTGAATCCTGTCTGATTGATTTCAGCGTTGCGGATTTATCGCGAGGAAGATCGGCTTGACATGGAGTTTCGATACTTGAAGCTAGATATGGAATGGCCAGAAGCACTCGATGCCGAAGATGGAATCCGTTCACTGGGGGAATAGGTTTGGAAGCGGCCGGGGCGTGGAGTGATTTCATCGTGTGCTTCGTCTGATTGCGCAAGCTCATCGGGATCCCGTCGGCGTCACTTCAATGAGGATGGATCGATGCTAGCCATGGTCCTTGGTAAATTCGAAAGCGGTGGTGATGGAAGCCTTTATCGATTGACGCTGCCGACCGTGGCCGTCGCCTTCATAGGACTCGGTCGAGGAGGTAAGAGGATCGTGCTCGAAGTTGTCGGGTATGGATAAAAGCCACTGTTTGATGTCCTGTTTTCCCGCGTCCGTTCTGTGCGCTCAACACAACAGAGCCATCAGGCGGTGGTTAGTGAGAAGATTGCCAGCTTCTTCGCGTCAGTGCTGTAAGATGAAGATGGACCAGTTCGGGACGAAAAGGCGGACCAGATTGTTGGAAGTCACCCTGCCAACAAGCATGCCTGTACATTACGCTATGCTTATTGGTTCTTACATGATGCCCCGCCCTTGACCCAGCAACAACCCTAGCCCAGCCACAATTAGAGGTAACTTACAGGACAAGATGGGTAACTAAGAAACACGTTGACAGTTGTTGTGGACCATAAAGCATTAGTGGAAGAACGATAGGTGACTGATTTAATGAAATAGTAGCATCAGAAGGACCTTTTTTCTCTAGCTAATCAGCCTAGATCTTAGGTACCTTTCATTTTGCAGGAGACCCGTAGCTGTGGCGTTGATCAACGACCAATCAATACTGGAGAGGCCCCACGTCTCGGGTACCGAGGTCATTGGCCCTGTCAGTGACTTGACACTCAGCAACAGCATCGAGTGTCAGATGGGCAGTCGAGGCTACAGAGGTCGGTTGTACGGGACGTCAACGGTGAGGAGCCCGGATCGTTGAGATTCGAAGCAGCCGCGAATGATTGCCATTGTGATGGCAGAAGTTCTCAGCAATGAAAACGTATGTTATGTTATGTTATGTATATTTTTCGTCCGGGGGGCCGTCGGCCCCAGAAGTCTCCTAATGGAGCACAGGACGTGCTGAGCTAGAGAAATCGGAATCTATCTACACACTAATTGCAGAAATGCTATTGGCCATAAAGGATTAGTCGTTTGCGACGCGAATTTAGTCTCTCCTATGGCGTCCAATTTCTGCAAACGCGTCAGTGAACCGCACTCCATCCAGCATATCATCGGCACAAATGGCGCATCTTATCGAGCCTGTTACCCGTCAGCGGGATGGCAAGGCGTAGCTGACATATCGCAGCCGCTTTTAGAGCCTGGAGTCAGGGAGGCTGAGATCAGCCTGTGCGTATGGCAGTCTGAGGCTGCCTTAAGGTAGTCCCGGCTAGACGAGGGGCGCTGTAATGCTCTTTATCTGGCCGTGAGTATATGTAAGAAAAGGAAAGGAAGGTAATAAAAGAAATATGTGGAAGATAAAGAAGGAAAGAGAGTTGCGAGTGCTTCTCTCGTTGTTATTGCCTAATAGCGAGGGTATATCTTTCTAAAGAACTTACTGTCCTTAGATAAGTCGATAAACTTGGTAAAGTCTTTCCCTATTGCTAGATTAACTGTTATATTCGGCAAGGGTGCTAGCCTTAACCGATAGCACGGCAGTACCTTTCTGCAGTAGAAGATGTGATCCGGTGCTTTGCATCAGCCGCATAAACAGACCAGGCGTGCGTTATCGTGGTTGAATCTCTTATGATATGTGGCGAAATCCCTATGGAGGGACCTTGCTGCCAGCAGATGGTATAAGGCTGCACGTAGGAGCAAGAGCTTTGGCAGGCAGCCTGTGATCGCCTTAAGATTAAGACTCTTATACTGCTTGGGAGCGGATGTAGACTACTATGCCTTGAATGCTTCTTTTGGTTTTTGTCTTGTGATCCTTTGCAAATAAGCTAGCGTTAGTTAAGTATCTACGGGCTCGGGGAGTAATGATGCTGCTCTTGCTAGTTTATTAGCCTGTTTGTTGCCGGGAATGTCGGTGTATCCTGGCACCTAAAGGACCTAGATGGCTCTATGTGATGTTGCTAGAGCCTGGAAATCGAGAAAGATATCTTAGGAGGAGTCGGAGGGTATACCTCGCAGGCAAGTAGCGGCCGCGAGGTTATCTAAGCAAATGAAGATGTTCTGTGTTACTGCATCTTGCAGGTTTAGGGCAGCCTTGAGGCCCTCTAATGCCCTGGTAGCTTTAGCGTCGAAGACCTCAGCAGGTCCAAGGCGACCTGATCCGTTAAAGATTGGGATATTGTTCTGGTGGATAGTAAAGCCGTAGCTGGCTACTCCTTCTGAGGACAGAGAGCTATCAGAGTATACAACCAAAGTGAGCAAGTCGAGAGACTTGACCTAGCGGATAAAGGCGTTGGCTGATTTCTCTTTTAATGCTATTTGGAGCAGAGGTATCTGTTCTTTATAGAAGTATCGCTGAATGAGTTTAGGCCGTGAACAGGATGCCAAGAGTTCGTCTGTGCATTGAAGACGTGTCCTGAAGATGCTTTCTGTCTGTATTTGGTATCTTTGCTTAATGAGGTTATGGTAAGTAGGTTGGTGAGGCCGGCGTGGCGGGCGCGTTCGGCCTGCCAGAGGGTAAGCTTTATCCAATGATTTGAGTTGCGCGGAGAATCTAAGTCGCCTTGCTTCGAGCAGTTAATCGACTGGTGGTATACCGCTTTCTCTTTGTAGGATGGCGGTAGGTGTTATCTTCTAGATAGGAAGTATGGCTCTTATTGCCTGGTTTATGGCTTTGGTTATTATTTAAATAAGGTGCTGATTACTGGATGGTAGGTCCTTCGTGGGCTGGTTCTAACGTGGCCTAGACCTGCCTAGGTACCACGCCTCGGAGCCGTGAAGCAGTACTGGCTCAACACATGCTCTGACGGCACTTCGAACGGCGCTCGGCAGAGGGCCGTGTATCGTGTTAGTAAGGCCTCGTAGATGGTAGGCCACTGCCTTCGCTTTAGCCGCCTACTTCTCGATATGAACTCGGAACGATAGTCTGCTGTCTAGCCAGATGCTAAGCCAGCGCAGAGCTGATTCGGGGTGCTTCTCTACATTATTATGGCATACTGCTGGAGCAGTACTAAGCTTGCTACGGGAGAAGTGCATAACTTCGGTCTTCTTTGTGTCAAAGGAAACGCCGTTTGCTGCGCCCTATTGCACCATCTTGGCGATAGAGCTAGATGCTATAGTAGTAGTCTTATCTACTGTGTTACCTATAGATAGGATAGCCGTGTCATCTGCATAGCCGAAACGACCTCGTGGGTTGCCTAGTCGGTAGATTAGCTTGGTGTAGAGCAGAAAGAGTATCAGCGATATTGGCGACCCCTGAGGGAGGCCGCACTGGAGGGGAGAAGAGGGCGTGACGATGTCCTGGTACCTGATATGCGCAGACCGGCTGCCTATGAAGGAGCCAGTCCAGCGAGCCAGATGGTTAGGCCAGCCCTGTTTGCAGAGATGCAGGACGAGCCTATTGCATATAACGGTGTCAAAGGCGCCCTGAATATCTATTATTACCAGAGTCGCCACTTTCTTGCGTATAAACGCTTCTTCGATATCGTGGATCAGGGCAGTCACCAGGTCTGTTGCTGACCTCTTGGGCAGCGCTCCAGCTTGCTGCGGATGAAGGACACTGTAGTGCATAGCTGCCCAGGCTAGGCGGCGCGCAATCAGTTGCTCGAGTCCCTTGCCGAGGCAAGAGAGCAGTGAGATGGGCCGCCATGCTCGCGGCTCTGTGAGGTCTCTGCATCCCGGTTTCGCGATCATGACCACCTCGGCCTCCTTGAATGGTTTTGGATGATGGCCTATGGTAAGGCACCTTTCGAAGAGACGGCGGATGTGTGTCCTGATGATGTGCTATACTGCTTTGAGAAGTTTGATTGTAATGTTGTCTGACCCGGGGGATGTGTTGCCTGTGCTAAGGGTTGCGTACTGCACCTCTTCCATAGAGATCTCCGAAGGGAGCGGTATCAGTCTACGAGGAGTAAGAGGCATCTAAGGGTTTGTAATGTCGTCTTCCGCAGTTCTGCGTTCTAACGTGGCTTATCGGAGTGCGTTGGCTTTATCCATCTGGCTTTTGTATACGACGTTATCGACCTATAGAGGTGGCAGCTGGAAGGCTCCTGGGGACTTTAGCCACCGGACAGCTTTGAAAATATCGCTACTGCTGGAGAAGCCATTGATAAGGTTACGCCAATAGCGTCTCTTGGCCCGACGGACCACGCGATAAAAACCTCTTTTGGCGATCTAAATGTCCTAGTTAAAGCTAAGCAGGTAGCTTCTTCTGATAGCTCGAAAAGCAGCTGCGGCATCGGCGCACTCCTCTGTCCACCAGGGAGCCGGGCGTCCGCCTTTCTGCGCGGGCCTCCCAGATGCTTTTGCTGCTGATGTTAGTAGGCTCACAAGTGAAGAGGCAAGCTCGTCTAGCTCCTCGGGGGTCGAATCCGTCAGGGGTATTCCTATAGCGCCAAGCTCTATGATCTTGATGAATCGTTTAAGCTCGTCTTCTGTCTTGACTTGGATCTTGGCTGGTTATACCGGAGTCGATCTGATGTCAAGGAAGGTCAAGCTGAGCGTGAAATGGTCGGAGCTAGTGGCGAGATGGTCCTTAATGGTAGCTTCGGCCAGTGGCATATTGGTGAAGGCCAGGTTAATCGTGTTGCCGTGTGGATTTGTCGGGATATCTAGAGTGTTGAGAAGATTGAGGTTATTCTCTGATGCCTATTCCGCTACCTCGTGGCCGCGGTTCGTCGCTTGGCCCGTCTGCCAACTACGATGCCTGGCATTAAAATCGCCAGCAACGAGGCAGCGCTCCAGAACAGGCCAGCGAAACAGCATGTTTAGGGCATCCCTCTCGTCATTCTGGCGATAAAAGTTGACTATTGTCATGCCGTTGACTGTAATCCAAAGAATGTCACGTGTCTCAAAGGGGCGAATCTGGTCAGCCAGAAGTCTTAGGTCTCATCGGACATATGTCATCACTCTAGGCCGAGTGTCGTTGCTGTTCCACATGTTAACTGGCGTAAATATGTTATATGCAGGATGTGTCTTGGTTAGGCAGCGGGCTTTAGTATGAGCTGTCTACGGCTCCTGTAAGAGTATAATGTCATATTGTTCCAAGTCGGCTAGCGCCAGGGCGCAGTTGTGGGCCAGAGGGATCTTGCCGACGTTGGCCTGGAAGACCTTGAGTGGCTTCTTGTTGTTCTTTCGTGTCTGCGAGTACCTATTCCTGGTCATAGTCATGAGTACGGCTTGTCAGGATTATACGATGCTTCTTCTTCGGTGAGCTTAGTCCATGATGCTCAGGCTCCTCCTCTGCTTTGTAGGTAGCCCGGGGAGCTGTGGCTACCATGATGCATGAGGGTGCTCCTGATGCAGCTGGACTCGGAGCATGAGCATCTGGCTGTTTATCTAGTCCGATGTTGCCCCTTCGCAGCTCAGCTGCTCCTTGTTGGGTTTCCACATGCGTCTCTAGTTGTGTTTCTGAATATCGTTATCGGTATGTTTCTGCGCCTACCATTTGGACGTGTTCTTGTTGTTCTTTGGTAAGCCGGCGAAGGATGCTGCATACTTTCTTCGGCTGAGCTGGGCACTTATGAAGGCTGGCCTCGTGGGGCCCTAAGCAGTTGATGCACTGTTCTGGTGCAGCATAGCTATCTGCGATATGGTTAGTCTTGCCACAGCGTCGGCAGACTGGCTGTCTACGGCAGTTGCGGGCAAAGTGGTAGTCCTAGCATGTTTCGCACTGTTTAGGTTGGACGGTTTTGTCTATAAGTCTGGCTGCACGGCTGCCAAAGAGGGACCAGAATCTCTTGGTGGGCTTAAGAAAGGACATAAGTAGAGTCTTGGTTAAGGGATTATCTGAGAATTGTCTCCTAGTATGTATATCAACGGGCTTAAGCCCTGTCTAGATTTCTATCTTATCGCTGATAACACTGTTACTATCCACCTCATTGCCGCGAAAGTCAGTTAGTCTTCTGGGAAAGTATAAGACCATATAAGTGTGCTATTCCTTGTTCGTTTCTACTGCCATAGCTCCTAGCTTAGCCGCCTACTCGGCCCGCTTCTCTACGAGAAAGTCGCGCGTTTCGAGGTCGGCAGCCAGGATGGCCCATCCTGATCTGACTTTAAACACCTATCGAATCTTATCTGAGACGGCGCCGAGTTTTTCCCGGATCAGGGTCCGGATTGCGTAGCCACTGTGGGCCCTGGCCGGAGCTCCGGCTTCTAGACGGATAAAGACACGGAGGTCTTGTCGGGGTGGAGCGATGGTCGATTGTTGCCCTTGGCGATGAAGTGGGTCAGATTGTCGGTGCTGTTGTTGTTAATGATGTTGGGGAGTTGGGCGGGCGCGGTCAGTGGGGGGCGAGGCGGCGACGCTGCTGTAGGTAGGCTTAGAAGCTGGTGCATCGCCGGAAAGCTCTTGTTTCCAAGTGCCGAGGAAGCTGTCGGCGAATTGCCAAGCGAAACGTCGCTGCGGTCCAGCGGTAAATTGCTAAGCAGCTTCTTCAAACTTGGCGCAGAAGGCCTAGAAAACCATCAGCTTGGCGTTATACTCTTCCACGCGCTCGCAGGCGAGGTCATTGGCCGATTTAATAATAGAGATTGGCTGATCATAGATCGATGTGGGGTTGGCGCGCTCAGCTCCTTCCGCAGCTGCAGCAGTGGTGGCGGCGTTAAGTGGTGAGGACGGTGTCTGCGCCGTCCGCCCGGGTCCGGGTGAAACACCAACGGGACCGTTGACGATTACAGGGCTGTTTTGCAGGAGAGCTGCACGGGCTTCTCGGTTTAGATTAGCGGGAGTGTGGATCCCAAGATCAAAGCGATCCGAGACAGCGGGCGGGCTCGTCATGGACGAGGCCATCGCCGCGGCTTGCGGCTGCGCGAAGCGCAGGTTGGGTCGTTTGTTGTGCGCTTGTTAAGGATCTTGGTGCAGACAGGGGCACTTTCTTAACACTTGTATGCCAAGAAAGTGTGATGACAAAGGAAGGTGGCTGAACAGGATAGTACAAGTTGTGAAAATTGCTATAGGGTACACCTCTATTTTGAGCTGCAGCCTTCTGCCGTTTGTCCCGTTGACGTTGATAATCTGCTGCCGCTTTATCCTCAGCTGTTGCATGTATGCGTGGCCGTCCACGCTTTTTTGGTCTTTCCATGTCAAATCTTGTATACAATAGAGTAGTAGTTCAGAATAGCAGGATATTGATCGGACGGGATTCTTAAGCAGATGACCAGGTGAGACTCAGATTGCGTCGTCATATGCCCCACGGAAAATCCTAGAAAGGGGTAATTGTGCACTAGCTGAAAATGGGTAGACATTGCCCGCGAAGCTCTGTGATTGGCTGAGAGAAAGCCCCGCATATTCGAAAATAGATGGATCTTGCCCGCGAAATTCACCAGATTCTAATTGGCTAGTAATGCTCGGGGTCGACGACAATATCAACATTTTCTAAGAATAATATCTAGACAATAAGCAGAAAATATTAAGAAGAAAATAAATTTACGTAATCTCGCGCTCTTATATTATCTAGACCTTTAGTGATATTAAGTCTTATATTATATCTATTGTCTAGTTTGAGGGGGCTAATGAACGATGTTTCGGCGTGTTTTTTGACTGCAATGTCTTTCTGCTTCATGCCGTATCGGCCGCAGCGAGTTCTTATATCTCCCATGACGTACTGCATAGACGAAAAGCGTAGAATCAAAGGGTGATCATTCGGGAAACTTTCGGAGAAATTCACGGTTGACGCGAATGAAAGTAGACAACCGAGTGGGTTTCTAATAGCCCTTTCTATAGTAGTAGAGGGGAGGAAGGTTCAAAATATAATAGTAATTTGTGTGACAGCCACAGCAGAAGAGAACATAAGGTTAAGAGGGCCTAACTCGACAAGAGGCGCTAGTTGCCTCATGAGGAAGCTTATCTGACTAGTAAGCATACCAATCAGGGCAATGCCCGCCTTTGGATGGTTTCTTAGATCAATTGATAGTGCATTGCCCCATCTGGTATCCGACACAAACAAACTTAACATTCTGTCCGTCGATCGTTCCGGTGCTGGTTTTGGAAGCCCAGTTGTAAGGATGATTATAGGTAAATGCCCAGTATCTAGCGCAGTTCCGTGGGCCATCGCAGCATATTTTATTGCCACCATCCCAAAATCCAAAGCGTAGATCTGGGTCGGCCTTCGCGCGTGCGTCTGAGTTAAGGAGAAGCTTCGGGAGAAGACCATCCTGGCGGGAATCGACAGCGTAGCAACCGACTTGAATATTCTTGTTCTGGGCTTCAGCGATATGGAAGGTGGCAAAAGCCATTGCCGCAACTGCTGAAAGTTTCATGGTTCTAAGTTGGAATTAGACTAGGATTTGGCATATAAACGGGTTTTTCTTACCGTGCTGGTAAAGTAATAATGGTAATATGACTTTAATTGTATTGTTTGTGAGTTGTTGATGAGAGTTCGTTTCGATGTGGCAAGAGTATCCTTTTATACTTAGAAATGGCTGTAAGGCGGTGAATCCTAACGATAGAATGAGGCCTATGTAGAGCCTACAATTTAATCTTATCCACTATTTAGAATTCTTTGTTGCGTGATTTGTGGAATAACTTCTTAAAAACTAGAATTAAGTTACACTAAAGCTGTGATAAATCGCGTACAGTGGGATGCAATAAGTTTGAATCCAAACTCAAGTACACATTCACTGACTAACCGAAGTAAGACCAGTTTCCTATGTAGCAATACCCCAATCGGGATAGCCTTTTGCCTGATACAGCTTAGCATTGACTTTATCAAGCTAAAGCATTGTATACAGGAGCTAGATTACAACAGCTGGTACTTCAGCCTGGATTCAAACTTATTGCATCCCACTGTATCAGCTTTTACACAGCTAATAAGAGTATCATGATTGGCTAGATCGAGCTTCTTCCTCAGATTAGAAGCAGGCTGAACTCCAAATAGGCTAGACAGGGGGTATCGGCACTTCGAAAGGTATTCAAACTTATTGCATCCCACTGTATTTGTGGACGGGAGTCGGTAAGATTACTTGCGGGATGTGAAAGTCTCCACAACTAGGGCCCGCGGATACCCGAGCCAGCCATTGCGGGCGTCACAGACTGGCGTGGTGTAAGTATTCAGGGTTTGAGAGGAGGTGGAGGAAAGATGACAGAGGCGTTTTAGAAACATTACCAAGTTATAAGATCTCGGTGTTTTAAAGAGTTACTTGTAATTTAGTAATGCAATTAAAGATACAAAGTTAAGTTAAAGACTGGATTAAACTTGGACGAAATTGTTTCTCATAGGGTCCGGTCTTTGGTTATTTTTACACAAAGTGTTCGTAGTTAACTATTTACCATAATATTCTAGGTTTACAATATGCAATAATGGTCTACAATATGAATTTGGTTAATATTAAGAAAGCATAGCGCTATCATATCAAAAATTCAAGGAGGGCCCCATCTAGTCTACTTGAGTTATGCGGTATTTTCAATCTGCACCACCTCTATTTTTCAGCCAATCACAGCCACCCTGCTACTGGCAGTTTGCCCCAAGCTACCAGGGGCCTGTCGGTTAGGTGGAGAACGTTCGCACTCAGTATCGAAATGTCTCGGAAGCTATGAGAGGTGGTGCGAATGTCGAAGAACGAGCCAGGGGGTGGGATGAAAAGCAAGATGCCTGGTGTGAACCTTGTTTCAAGTGCCGAAGTACAACCATTTCTTTTTAAGCAACTGCCGCGAAGCTAAGATGTAGGTTGCAGAATACTACGAAAGTTCAGATGCCAGTCTTAAAACGGCAGG